CTGTATATTCAGCTTTGCATCACAGGAATAAATTTCATTTTAAATGGAAAACAAATTGTAATATTTTCCAATATTACTTGACAATATTGTTTTGCTACATTTTGGATCGAATAAATGCAGCCTTCGTGATCATTAGAGAATTCTTTCAAAAACATAAAAAAATCTGAAAAACCAACCCCGCACTTTTGAGTGCTAGTGTACAATTCATCATTCACTCACCTGAGTCATTTTACATAACAAACATAAATTCTGTTCACCTGAGTCATTTTACATAACAAACAAGACTAAATTCTGTAAGGCTGTGGTTACAGTGGTTTGTTTGAAAAACAGGTAATTTCTCCTGAATGTTTGCAGTCTGAATATCTGAACGTTTCTCTCTTTTTCAGACACATAGCCGTGTTCCCCTGTAAGCTGCGTATATTGCCCCAGTTCATCTTCAACTCCAGAGATCCCATCGTCATGGGTGTCACTGTGGAGGCTGGAGTACTGAGGACGGGCACTCCTGTGTGTGTGCCCAGCAAAGGGGTGAGACATGTAGAGAGAACGTACACTTTCAGCTCAACAATGAATGACGCAGAACAACTCTGTGCCTCTACTGTCAGTTTTTACATTTTAACAGTTCAAGGGAAAAGCTTGAATAGTTTGCATTGATTTGGTCCACCTTTTCTCTCTCTCTTTCTCTTAGTTTGTAGATATTGGCATTGTGACCGGTATCGAAATAAATCACAAGTCTGTAGACAGTGCTAAGAAAGGACAGGAGATCTGTGTGAAAATCGAGCCAATTCCTGGAGATGCACCCAAGATGTACGGCAGACACTTTGAAGCTGTAGACATCATTGTTAGCAAGGTATGCTCTCTCCCTGCATCCTGAACTAAAGCCACTGGAGCTCATAGGATGCTTAGTTTTTTGTTTTTGTTGAAAAAAAAAAAAACCCTAATACTAGGCCTGTCGCGATAACAGCTTTTTGTTGTGTGATATATTTTGTGCCAGAAATTATTGCGATAAGGATAACAACTTTTTGTTGTGCGATATATTGCCCCAGAAATAATTGCGATAAGCGATATTATTGTCATTTTAAAGACCATTTTATGCCACTGAATATATAATCATAATGTAACAGCATAATAATGCAAGAAGGCCTACACACTCCCAAATGACAACAAACTTTACATTTTTAAGAATATTTAGATCATCAAAATATTCGATACCTTAAAAAACCTGAATAAATATTAAATAAACATTTTCTAACAAAAAAGTAGAAAAAAAGAAAAAACTTGACAAGAAACAAGAAACTTGTATGGAGATTTTTCCATCTACGGATTTTTCCCTGACCTT